GGCAGTAAAATAACCATGTTAGCACCTTTTAACAGTCTTTTATCAGAAATACATTTCTTTTGCCAATCTAGAATATATATTGTAATTAAAGAAACTTATCACTTCCCATATATATAAATGATCGGCTAACCATACCATAGAAACTTTTGATCTTTCTTTTTGCCAAAAAAAGATTGAAGATCTCGTCAGATAAATCGGCAAACGAGATGGGACATGCGAGAGGATTCTAAATAAATGAAATTCTAGGCTGCTTTAGTAACCGGTAGACTTTGTTGGGATAAAAAAAAAAGTAGAGCAAAGAAGAACAAAACGAATCTGAAACAGCATGAGCTTACAAAACAGTGAAAAAAATTGCTGACCTCTTCAGTTTCAAAAAGGTCTTGCATACTGTCACTCAAATGTTCATCTAAAATCTACGAAGGAGAATCAGTTCAGAAAAAACAGTTGCAAGGATTAGTAGCAAAAAGAGAGAGAACAAAAAAAGAATGACAGCCCTTTAGACGTGCAGTAGAATACTAACCAGTCTCAAACTCTTCAGCAGTTTCTAGTAATTCAAATGATGACTCTTGACTACTAATCCTCCGTTGTTTGCCAGCAATTGAACATCGTTGACTAGAAGCTGGTGTTAAACGTCGTAAGCGATTCTTAACCAGCAGCAATCTGTAAGCCTTACATTAGCACATTTAGTAACTTAATGACTATTATGGAAAATATCTCATGCTCAACTGACGATATACAAACGTCAAATTTGTTCTGCAACTAAAAGTATGTACAAAAAATTGACCTTGGCGATCGTCTTGGATTTGTATGCAAATGATCACTTGAAGATTTGCCATTTGATCCCAGTGCTGACCCAGAAGGCCTTAGCATAACGACAGATTAACAATATCCAATGACAATATCCAAAAACAATTAACGTTGGTATCTGCAGATTCCACACTACAAATCCATATTCACAAAAACACAGCCTAGATTCTAAAAATAAAAAAAAATAGTACCTCGCCGGACATGACAAAGTTTTACTAACCAGTAAAGTAAGAATACCAGTAAACAGAAAATTGAATAGAAAACCACGTTTCAACGAATAACTCAGTAGAGAAACGGAATATCATCATGATTCAGCAAGCCACTTGCTGCCAGAAATTTTGCGAACGAAAGACTTCAGAATCAGCGCAAAAGTTCCAGAGCAAGCCAAGGTATATATACACAAAAGCCTTAATCTATACTAAGGCACCAATTTGTGCACGATGCCAACCGCTCCGGCTACAGTAATCCTGGTTCTGCCGCGAAAATCTTTTTGCAACAAATTAGAAATAAACGCACCGATACTAAGGAATCATCAAAAGGCCTTCTACCGCTTGAAAGTGCTTGGACAGTTTATGGCTAAACTTCGCTGAACTCTGCTCCAGTTGGACTTTTTTTTTTTTGTTCTGTTGCTTTTGGACTGCTTTTTTATGATTTAATAATGATTGTCGTATCACTGCTGTGAAGTTTCTCGTGAGTTTGATTTTCCAACGCGCTATTGTACTAGGACTTTAAGCCTTAGCCGGCAATCTTCATATATGATTCTTATGAATGAGTAGAAGCGGTGCAGTTCAAAGACTGTTACTGCGGCTCTCACTTTCTGCAGTAAATATTTTTTCTATTTGATGAAAGATTTTGTGAGGGAAATAAGACTTCTCTGCGGATAATGCAGTGTCATTTGATCGTTAGTTTTTTTCCTTCTTGGAGCTTGTAAATTCTTTCAAAATTTTTTCTCAATACAGGCACAAGAATCTGAAACCACATTATGACATTCTTCCACTTTGTCAACTGCCTAGTCCTGGCTTATGGACCTTATGTTATCGCATATAAATATTCCGGATTGTCTGAATATAGTTCTCTGTGGAAGTGTGCGCAAGCTTCAGTTGCATATTTTATTACGCAACTTGGAAAAATGTTAATATTAGCAACATTCTTTCCTGCCAACGAATCTGAAAACTTTGAACTTTTCCCTGTAAGTTACTTTTTCATCACTTATTAAATAAATTCGAATATTTTTTTTTGATACATAGCTGCGCCAACTTTTTTTTGCGCCATACTCAACGCTTTTTATTCCGTAGGTAATTTTTCGTAAAAGCGTCTCAGAAGACTCACTTAATCGACAGTAACAGTCAGTTCACAGAAGTAAAATTTAGAAAGATGAAGAAATTAGGAGAAAAAAGTTAATCTGTCTGTTAGAGTAAATTGGCATAAAGCCGACTCCTTTTTACAATAAAAAGAATCTTTTATAATTAAAAATCTCTTTTGAATTTGTTGGTAACTGGGAGAATGTGTATGAAAAAGGTTGAGTAAAACGATGGTAGTTATTTTGCCACAAACGGTTCTCAAAAACTGCTTCTGTGCTGGAGTTTTCAGCATTTGTAAATCTTGTCAAATTGGAGTTGCTCAGCGCATTTGTTTGGAGGAGTAGTTGCTTGAGGATATTCATCTTTCCATCTTTAGATTAAGGAGGGAATTTAGTGCTTCTAATTCAGATTTATGTCTTTATAATTGTAGCTTGTATAGATATTTCTACAAGACGGTGAGGAATTGCCGTTTTACTGAAAGTGACTGTTCCCTTGCTTCACAGAAATTGCTCTGTGATTTTATTCTTGTTGTGCGTTGTTTGTTAGGGTATTTGGTGAATTTTTTGCGAAGTCATCACAGCATCAGGAAAGATTTCGTTGTAGCTTTAAAAAACCATTGTTGCTTGCGGACGTGAATCTCTGACAGCTTCTGGAAGAGTATCAGTGAGAACAAGAAATAAAATTGCTTTACGGGTTGCAGTATGTGCTTTTCAGAATGAACTTAGTTTTTCGTGATCATTACGGTGAAGCCTCCAAGATCCTGATGTTTTTTGGCAAAGCGGGAGAGAAAATAAAAAATGAAGTGTAGAGAGGCTTAAATTTTCTTCTTCTTTGAATTACCTGTACATCACTACTTAGAAGAATTTTGAATCAGAAGTTTAAAATCAGGTTTTGATGCCTTTAAAGTAGGGAAAGCCTAATTGTTAGCAGTGGGAGGCGTTTTTTTTTTTTTTTTTGAAGTATTGTTCTGTTTGAACAACATTTAGTACCATTGCGGCTATATCCTTCACTGCTTTCTGGTCTAACCATATGTTAAGACAGTAAGTAATATTATGGATCGTGTTAAAATTGGTTCAGAAACTTCTTTTCTGGAATGGCGCAAATTTTTTAAAAGTATCTCTTTTTCTGAGGTACTTTACAAAGAATAGGGCTAAGTTTTTACTTTCCTTGATAGAAAATGGGGGTTTCAGATAGATAAACGTCATGAAGATTTCAGGAGTTTTTGAAAAACAGTGCTGATGTTTTTGATGTGATTGGATTGCACATTGTAATTAACTATTTAGTAGCAGGGAAAAGTGAGGTTCGTTTTATGACTGCAGGTCTAGGTTGGGCCTTCGCACACAGGTTTGTTATTGTTTGACAAGAAAAATTTGTTGAATAAATAATTTGATTAGTTTTTTGTTGATTAGTCTGTCGTTTTTTATTTATATTTTCTTAAAAACTGCGTTGTGAGATATAATGGGATAACTGTTTATACGGCTCGTCATTGAAAAAAAAGTAAATGATTTACTTAACAATATGAAGTTTATTTTTATTTTAAAAGGCATCATACTGAGTTTCTACGACTTAATTTTTGTAGTGTTGCAACTCGATTTCTTGGCTTTTGGGTTGGTGCACGCGGTACAGCCTTTCATTGGAAGTTTATGCAAATGGCTTTTGAATCCAATATCGACTTAATATTTTATATAGGTAATTTTAGCTATTAAGTCTTACAAACACTTAATGGTTAGTACGCAGCTCTGTTTTGCCGCTGAATGTTACTTTAGAGGCATTATTTACTGTAATGCCGTGACTGTAGCTATTTAGAAACGTAGCATTTGTTCAGGTATAGTAATTTTCAAAAAAACAGTGCTTTTTTTACAACTATGACCTTTCACTTCTTTGCATTTTATTTTTATAAACTAAGCTTTTGTTTCACATAAAAACCGGAACAGGATCTATCATTTCTTTTTATCTGTTGTGAAATTTTTCCAGCGCTTAGTGCCTTAGTGTGGTTGATGTCTCGTAACGACCTTTTGCTTAGGATGAAACGTTTCGTTGTGTTGCTGCTCATATTTTGCATCTTTCACATCTTCATTTACCAGTAAGATTATTTTGAATTACCGATGATTTACCCTTAGATTATGGTAATCATTGTTTTGAGGATGTTAGATCAGATCTTCACTGTACTTCTAGATGTATAACTGATGATTTATACTGAGGATTTATTGTTTGTTTTACGTTTTTGTTTGCGGAGCAGCATTGTTAGCTTATGAAAACTTTTGGCTTTTATTTCTTTGGCTTATTTTTGCTTATTTTATGCATTAGCTGGTAGTTCTTTTCTTGAAAAAGAATTCTTACTACATTTCAAACGTCATTGTCCGGGTAGCTTTTGGTTAATTAGTTTCGCTGGTTTTTACTGGAATAAGTTCGTAATTTTAATCTTTCTTTTTGTTTTATTCTATTTTCTTTCAAATATTCACTCATTAGATTCTTTCATTTGAAATGCTATAGATTGTGCAGCAGCAAAATGAACTTGGAACCATTTATCATGTTGATAGTCAAGGCGCTGCTGACGGGAAGCTTGGCGGGACTCACACTCGTAATTTATTCGTCTCTTGGTTTTCATGGCAGTGCAACTTCATTTCGTGGCTAAGTTCTAATATGTTGTTAGATGTAACGGATTTAATATTTACCTGTTAAGCAAGATAATGACTGAAGGTATTTTCTTTGGCAGAGCCATACAGTCTTCTTGTTCATTCTTGTGTTGTTTTCTTCCGTGTAATTGTTACTGTGTGTTTCAAAAACGGGTTGTTTTGAACTAGAGGTCTCAGAGTTCTGTTATTTTTTTCAGCTATTCATAATAGTTATCTTGTCAGTGATTACTCGGCTTTTTTCTCTTGTGAATTTTTTTATTTTTGCATTATCTACAGTAATAATCAGGAAATTTGAATTTTAATAGTAAAATTAAACTTTTATTTTCCTTTGACGATTCACTAGGTTAAGTACGTTTACTTAAACAGTGAAGATGGTATGTTCAGCGACTTCTCAGTGATACTGACTTTCTCCAGTTTTTTAATTTTGCTCCTGCTAATTGCTGGTGAACTTCTAAGACGTTCTGCCGTTTCAGAAATTGTGTTGAGTATGTTGGTTGCCACTCGCTTGAAATTTGAAATTATTCAAAATTGGATTATTGTTATGGTTTGTTAGTTTTGAAAGAGAAAAAAAAATCTAGTCCGCTTACTGACCCTCCGTGGAAACTATATATATATGGGCCGTTTCATGCCAAGTCTCACTGCGAAATCTTTTACACTTAATAAGCGAAAAACAGAGCAGTTGGAAACGCTCAAAAATAGGTTTCAAGGCGTATCCGAGAAAAAAATTTAACGCAAAAGAACGCAACATGAAAATCAGAACACATTTAAATGAGCAAGAAAACTTCATTTTTGAAATGGGCAGCAGCTTAAAAAAGGAGGGGTAGAGACAGAAAACACAAAGCTAAACCACACAAAGGTTTTAAGTACAAAATAGAGTGATAATTTGTAGCCTTTTAGCTGCTCATTTTTTCTCTTTTTTTTTTTTTCTTAGTATTATCCAACGTAATATGTAAGGTAGGTTTGAGACGGAGAACGTTTTCTAATACGCGAAGTGAACAAAATAAAACGTCAGTAAATTTTTCTGCTGGATTGATTACTTGTAGTCTCCTTAGCTCCTACACCGACGATTACTGCAATAATTATAATAGATACAATGATAGCGAATAATAGTGGTTGCGTCTTAGATTGCCTTTGATGTCGTACGTGAAGTTTTCCGAACACTTCTGAGAAACCGTATTTTTGCATCATAATAGAAAATGCCTGATGTAGAAAACATGGTTTAGGAGTACCAAACTACAAGTTTCAACAATAATACTTGACGATGATGA